TTTCTCTGTGTTCCCTAGAAATCAGTGAAGCACACAGAAGCTTGACAGAACTATTAGTACTTAGTAAACCTGAGTGCTCTGTATAGCTTGAAAACATCATTGTATCCTGTCAATTACACTTATTCTTCCTGGTAACCACCAATGTATTCTGCTTCTGATAAGGAGATAAAAAGTCTGATATTGCTTGGTTAATCTTTATAAGTCTTTATGGATTTCAATAAACTTGTCTCAGCCTCAGTCTTACTGAGACCCCTCCATCCTGACCTGGTTTTCATTTCTCACTGATCTTATCAGGAAACCCTGGCTTAGTAAATAAGTGCTGGCACTTACAATTGACTTTAGTTCTGCAACATACTTTATATCATTTAAACATTTATATCATTAAAAGTGTTGAGACTTGTTTTATGCCCTAGTACAGGGTAAAAGTCCCAAGGGGCCTCAAAAAGACCTTGTATCCTGCTGTGGTTGGGGGGGGGGCAGCACTGTGGAGGTCTCGCTGGTCAGAAGGCTGTTAGTCCTCACTGACGTCTGTCTCCTTGTTCTGTTTGTTACTGAGAGGACCAAAATATCCCACTGTAATAAACTAGTTTACCTTTGCTTGTAGTTAGATCGGTATTCTTCGTGTGATAAAAGCTGTGCTCCTAGATAAGTTTTTCTGTCACAATGACTGCTTCTAGCTCTATTTTAGCCCTTTTTAAAATCATAAAGTAAGTTTTTTTATTCATGCTACTAACTTTTGCTCTGAGATTGACACTGTATGAAAACAGTTAGTTGCTCCAGTTTTCATTGGACTGTTAGTATGGTGTATATTTTCATTATTTTGCTTTCAGCCTAATTGTATCTCTATATTTTATATATTTTTTGCAGGCAACATGAATGGTTATGCTTTTGTAGTTTGGTTATGCTTTATTCTGTAAACCTGAAAAAATATGCGCAGTTGTTAATTTAGATATCTAACTGTATTTCCTGTGCCTATTTCTTCTTCATTTTTGAAAGGTAATTTTGCTGTGTATAGAAATCTGGGTGACATTTTTTTCCTTCAGACTCAAAAATTGTTGCTTTTTTTCCTGTTAGCTTTTGTCCTAATAAGAAACCTTACTTTATCTGTGTTCTTCTGCATATGACATGTAATGTAATAACCTTAAGACAAGAGTCTATGGTGTTGTTCTGTATGGTAGGCTCTCCTACATGAGTACTAACAAGGCAGGACCCTTTTTAGCTTCTGAGACCAGACAAGTTTGAATGTACTGAGGGCAGTATGGTGGTAGACTGGACTGAATATTTGTTACAGGAGACGTGGTGTGACTTTCCTGGAGAGACTGTTAAAGCATCATCTACATATTCTAAATACTCAAAGGACTGACAGACCAAAGGAAGATTCTGTCAAGTCAAGCTTGGTGAATTCATGATTCTATGGGCAGCTGCATTAATCAAAAGTCCCACCACTGCTCATTTTTAGTATCTATATACCTTTGCATTTGTAAGCTTTTATACAAATGGACAGGAAAGAATGGTGCTTAGATTCTCAGGAGAACATCTTGTGACCTCTGTTCTCCAGTGGAGAATGTCAACAACCCCATCACCATTACCATAGATCTCACTCCATGCTCTGTTGTTCTGATTATTTCATTGCCATTACTGTAGACCAAGCTCTCCTATGGGCTATCAAAGCCACCTTGCTTCAGGGTGGAAATGGATGTGTCAGGCCATACTGCAGGAGGCCATACTTGCTGGGGGGAGCCACCATATAATATCTGGAAAATTGGGGTCCCTTCTTGGGTTCCAAGTCTTATTAAAATATCAGCTTAAGAGCTGACTAACAGAGAAGAGCAAGGACAACTTATTAGAGCAGAAAAGAAAACCCTCGGGTTCAGGCGAGCTGTAAATCTTGCAGCTGCCCAGAGGAAACTGATGGGGACAGGAAGGTGGGATGGAGCCATTCTGTTTGAAATAAAACAAGACAACCAAACCACCTCGGAGGTCAGCCACATGGCTAGGGGGATTGTTTAGAAAGAAAGGAAGAAGGCCTAAAGTGTGAGGGAATTAAAAAAAAATCCAGGGCAAGCAGCTCTAATTCTTGTGACTGCCCTGGAGGAAAGGAATGGAGAAAAGAAAGGGAAAATAATCCACGCATGAAAATCAGCCTGAAGGAAGGTCTGTCACATGGTAGCAGACAGCCACAAGATGGGCAGCAGAGCTTGAAAGAGAGAGTGAGGAAGCCTGAAAGTGTTAGGGAGTTTAAAGGCATGTTCTGTCCAGCACCTGAAAGAAAAAGGAGAAAAGAAAAGGAATAGTTCTGTCTCTTGGAATCAGGACTCAGAAAGGCTGGCAGATGTAGCCAAGCCTCATGGCAGCCTCCATGGGCTGCACTAGGGGAGAGACTCCTAGGACAGAAAGTATATTAAGGTGAACCCACCTTTCTAAGGGTGACACCCCCCACCCCAATGCCACTCAGCCAGGTCCTTGACCTGGCCAGCTGGATTAACACCCAAGGGAGGCAACAAGGGCGTGTCTCCACCTAGAGGCAGATTTCATTTTTACTATGGCAGGCTCTGTTTGGACTGTGGATTTGAAACCAACTCCTAGCCAGTTCCCCGGGTGATGATGGTGCATCCTGGACACAGAGAGCTGACAAGAAGAGGGCAGGCTGATTTCTGATTCATCTCCTTCTCACAGTGATTAGGGCCAACTCTGAACACTTCATCTCCTGTCTTCTCTCTCATTAACACAAGCATGTCATGAAAAGCCAATGCCCAAATGGTTTCCTCTAAGCAGCATGGACAGAGATTGTTCAATAAAAGAAAAAGGCTATGACATAAATACAAAAAAACTCCTCATGGTCTTATGCATTGGGGTCTTGTAACTAGCTGATGGGCTTTTGTGAAGTATCTGATAAGGCATCTTGGTCTCAACATACAATGACATGGTATGGGGGTTCAGTCCTAGCCTTGATCACAGATCTGGGAGGAAGCTGAGCATTTGGAAGGAATAACTAAAGCTTGTGTACACAATGCGGTCTCCCCCTCACTGTGCTGGACATGCCTCATGTTGGCTTGGAGGGTGGGGTGCACCTTGCTGAGGCAAGCCCAGTGCTGTTTCCTGAAATTGTTTGACCACATAGATGGCCGGACCACAGGCTGGAATTGTGTGCACTGGGGCACAGGATTCAATGTATGCATGTCAGTAATTGTTGGTATTGTGGAGAATGTGGAGTAGGCAGAAGCAGGGAAGGGCTGGAGGAAGGTGATGGACTAATACACAAGTCTTTATTCCTACAAGCAGCTCAGTGAGGTGTGATTGTGCCCATGAATCCAAGAAGACAGTTAAGGCATGAATTCAGTTACCAAGGCAAGATGAGTGTATGTCAAGATCCAGTCCCAACCTGGAGAGGCACCCTGGCTAAGGGCCCAGATGTCCACTCAAGGCCAGTAGGTTGCCATGACAATAGAAGAACCAGCTAGCCATGTTGCAACATAAACTGGTTTGAGTCCCTGAAGAGCCACAGAAGTCATGTGACCTTTCTGGGATTGGGGCAGCCTCCTAGACCCAGACCAACACTAGTACAGCACCATTTGCTAAGGGCAGGATGACTTCTGGTCTGGGATGAGATGTTACTGTGCTTAGGCAAAGTTTGTTCTTGTTCACTGGGTGAGGAAAATGGACACCAAAGAGCAGAATTCTGACAACTACACCAGCCTGAGGACGTTATGTACTTAGAGCAGAGAAAACTGTGGTGAGCAGTCACAATCTGTGCCAGAGGACAGCCAATAGGACTGGGAAAGTGCTCTGGCCTTGGCCTCTCAAGTGTTTCTTTCTATCTGGACCGAGGGACTCTTTGAGACTGGAAGAAATCGTGGTCTGGGGAGAGAACTGGCTCAAGGCACAGACATCTCATCTGCCTGAGCATCCCCTTGGGCCTCTGCTGTCACTGTGATGTTGGCAGACAGCAAGTCCCTGGGCGGCAGGGCAGAGAAGCAGCCCTCGGGTAAGGGGTCCCACCAAGTGTGTGCTGCATTGCCTGAGAAGAGGCTTGGTCATCTCCCCAGCCAGTCCTGCTCAAGAGGCCACTGTGGTTCTGCCTAATTGGCCCCTCAGGGCCTGGTTTCTCCCTGTGAGCCTTGTCTCTTCTATTATAGAGGATGCAGGACCCCTGGTCCTCACACAGACATCCTAATGTCCCCTCTTTACTTGGAGATGTCACCATATGCTCTTTAAATGTTTTAAACTTAATCTAGTCCTAATGAAGTTCAGGAGAGAGAGAGAGAGAGAGAGAGAGAGAGAGAGAGAGAGAGAGAGAGAGAGAGAGAGAGAGATGCTAAGAAGCAAATTTCTGGAGAGGACGCCTGGGAAGATTCATTCTCCATGCTTATCATGTGAGTTTTGTACTGTCTCTCTGCTTATCTTTGCCTCACTGTCTTCCTGTCCCTCTGCTTATGTCTCTGTCTCCCTATCCCCACATCTTTTTCTTTTTTTCCTTGTATCCACGTCACAGATCTCACGTTGAACTGTATAGCATCTCTTGTGACAGGGAAAACACCATGGGTGATGTGGTCTGCTACCATCTGGCCACCCCTACAGGGACAGAGTGTTGTAATATTCAGGTAGTTCATCCACTTTCCAAACATCGCCTGAGGCAAGTAGGAGAGTTGATGTCTAAGCCCAAACCAAGGAATAGTTTCTTACAATACTGCTGTATATGGGCACATGAAAATAACAATGCTCTTTAAAAATGAGGATAATCTAGTAGATTATATTTGCAAATGTAAACTTTGAGCTCCAGTACTCCTAAATGTAAGCAACAGTTTACAGGAGAAGTCACACAGTCTGCTCTTTCCTCATCCCTTGGAAGTTGGCACTCTGCATCCAGGCACACTCTGTTCAAGGCTTTTCTAAACTCAGCTGCAGTTTTAACTCAGGCAAGTGTGTGGCTACCTGGGGTAGGGGTGAGGCAGGGCTCAGTGTGCCTGGTGCCCTACTGTAGAGCCCTTGACCCCCAGCTCCAGTGACACACAGATGAATGACTGAGATTGGTATAGGTGAGTGTACTGGTCACCCTTGAAGACAGTGGTTGATGATGTCTAATATGACCAGGTGAGAGTCACCTGCCATCTTCCTCATTCCTCCCCACCCCCACCCACTGTCTGAGCCCTTGAACAGAAGGGAGCCGCAGCTCTCCCTGCTACCAGAACACACAGCCTTCCACCTCTGGGGTTTTCCTGGCCATGCTCCATGCTCCCTGAAGCCTGGGGAAAGGATCCTCCCAATGGAGAAATACCCTGAGTCCCAAGGTTTATGAGTGGCCACATCAGTCTCCTAGAAGTCCTACATCTAGAAAGATACCTGCAGCATTGGGTGGCACATTGCTCTGTTTTTACCCCAGGAAGTCTGAGAGTTGGATGGGCCTCAACACACCTGGGGTGGGTCATTAGCACAAACTGGGACTGGAGCATGTATTTCCTCTTCAGACACTATCAGAGCTGTCACAAAAAAACTCATTGCCCCTGCATCCTGAGGCCTCTTTAGCTTTGTGATGAACGGGACACTGGTCACTGAGTTCCTCATCCTGGGATTCTCAGAAATGCCTCATCTTCAGGTACCACTTTTCCTCAGCTTCCTCTGCCTCTACACAGCTGCCATCTCAGGAAACCTTCTCATTATGGTGACAATCAGTGCCAGCCCAGCCCTACATACCCCCATGTACTTTTTCCTGGTCAACTTGGCTGTGGTGGACATCCTCTGCACCTCCACCATCCTGCCCAAGCTACTGGACAGCATGGTCGGGGGGAGGACCATCTCTTATGGGGGCTGCATGGCCCAGCTCTTTTTCTTCACATGGTCACTGGGGGCAGAGCTTCTGCTCTTCTCAGCTATGGCCTATGACCGCTTTGTGGCCATCTGCTGTCCCCTGCACTATAGTGCTTGGATGGGTCCCAGGGTGTGTGCATTCCTGGCTGGCCTCGTTTGGGCCATCAGCTTGACGAACACCAGTGTGCACACAAGCCTGATGCTGCGTCTACCATTCTGCAGCTCCAATGTGATAGAGCACTTCTTCTGTGAGATCCCCCCACTGTTGAAGCTCTCCTGTGCTCCCACACAGCTGAATGAAGCCATGGCCTTTGCTGCAGATATGTTCCTGGCTGTCGGGAACTTCTCTGTGACCATCCTCTCCTATGGCTTTATTGTGGCCAGCATCTTAAGGATCCGCTCTGCTGAGGGCAAGCAACGTGCCTTTTCCACCTGCTCCGCCCACCTCATTGTGGTGACCATGTACTACTCCACCGTCATCTACACCTACATCCGCCCTTCATCCAGCTACTCACTCAGCAAGGACAAGGTGGTGTCCGTCATCTACACCTCGGTGGCACCCACCTTGAACCCCCTCATCTACACTCTGAGGAACAAGGATGTCAAAGTTGCTCTTAGGAGACTTCTGTCCTGCAGCTGAGCCTGTGCTGGCACCACTGCCTTCAGCTCTGCTCTCCTGGGGGGTCCCAGGTTTGGTAGAAGTCCCTGTTCCTTCTCCTGAGGACACACCTGCCAAACCAGAAGGGGCAACTCTTCATTTGCTGGGATTCACTGAGCAGAAGATCTGGGATCTCCATGCGGTGTCCTGTAGGACCATAGGGTATCCCATATAGTTATTCACTTCAGTTTTTAAGTGAATCTCCCAAAGCATCAAATGTGAGCATGACCTTTTCCTAGTTTTCTTGGCTTGCAGTAGTCACATGAGCCAGGAGCTCTGGGTCGACCCTGTTTTGTACATCTGTTCTTCTTTAACCCCCAAAGGCTACTCAGCCTTGATTGTGGCTGGCATGTAGGTAGGTGATTTGAGAATGTAAAGGGGCTTGGAGGCTTTAGAATAATTGTCCTGTCTTGTAAGTGAAATATCTAAAAAAAAAAAAAATTACTTCCTTCCACTTTTTAGTACCTTTGACAGAGAATTTTTGAGGCAGGCTTTTGTCATGCTGTCAGCATGCTGTGACATTGTGTGATGAGAGAAGGCCCACCTTTGCCTTCCATCCTGTCCAATGTGAACCACCAATGCTAGTCAGCAGCTTCCCTGTCAACACTACCACTCACCCAGGAGGGTTCCTGCAACAGACAGTTTGCTAGCAGCAAGAGGTTCATGGAGTCCTGAGCCTTATCATTCCTACTGCGGAGAAATCTAGCAGGCCTGGTGTAAGCTTGGGAGCTTGTTGGTTTGGAGGGTGTGCCCAGAAAGGGAACTATGGGAGGGAATACAGCTGTTGTCCTTCAGGGGCTGCTGACTTTGGGAGCAAATCCAGAGACCTTTGATGCCCCACCCAAATCTTCACTTCTGGCCTGGGCTGTCTCAAGGTCATGGACTAACTCTGGTGGCCTTTTGACCCCTCTGTCTGCTCCTGGTTGACCTGTGTTCCTTCCAATGTTTGGTTTTCATTTCTCCTTTCAATGCTGATTCAATTAATTAGTTAATTTTTGAAAATTTATTTCCAAGCTGACATATGTGTATAGTATTTTTATCATTTCCGCTCCTCCTTTCAACCCTTCCTATGTCCTCCTACTTCCTTTCAACTTCATGGCCCCTTTTTCTTGATTATTATCATTGTTACATGTATATGAATAAATATATAAGTACAACCTGTTGGGCATTAATGTTTCTGATATTTATATGTGTTTAGAGTTGACCTCTTGGTCCTGGATAGCCAATTATGGGGCTATTCCATGGGGAGGTGCTGTGGGATATTCTGTATCCTGTGAATGTGTTGCTCTGATTGGTTGATAAATAAAAAGCTGATTGGCCATTAGACAGGCAAGAAGTATATATAGATGGGATAAACAGAAAGGAGAATTCTGGGAAGGCTGAGACACCAGCCTGCCATCCAGGGAGCAGCATGTAATGGCACACAGGTAACATATAGATTAACAGAAATGGGCTGAGTTTAAGTGTAAGAGCTAGTCAGTATTTAGCCTGAGCTAATGGCCAAGCAGTTTTAATTATTATAAGCTTCTGAGTGATTATTTTATAAACAGCTGCCGACTGCAGGGCCAGGAAGGACCTGAGGAAAACTTTTAACTACAGGGAAGACTGATTCTCCCTCTCAGAAGTCACTAACTTCCTATAGCTCTCCAAATTTCAATTTTCTATGTTAGCATGTCAACTGGTGCTGTCATTGTTCAGGTCTTGTTTAAATAACCATATTCTTGAGGGCTTGTAAATACAGCTCCCCTGTCCTATATAGATGACACAGTATTGCAGCAAATACCTTGGTCCTCTGGGACATAATTTTTCCACTTTCTCTTCTGTGATGTTCCTCTAGACTTAGGTGTGGGGTTGTGTTATAAATGTATTCACTAGGACTGAGCACTTCACAGTCAGTTGTAACTTTCTGAGTTGGCCTCTGTCTGCTACAAAAAGAAGCTTTGATGAGGGGTGAGAGCTACACATACCTGTGAGTATAAAGATAAGTGTGGGAATGCAGTTAGAGTTTATATTGGTTTGGGAAAGTGGCAGTGGAAGGTTCTCCTCTATGTCTGTGACCTGTCCAACCACAGGTAGTTGGCTGGGTTTACAGTACCAGGTATGAATTCTGTCCTACTGAGTGGGCTGTAAGTCCAATCAGACAACTGTTGGTTACTGCCAAGATGTAATTGTACCTTTAGGAATATCTTGTCATGCTGCTCATTATTGTAGTTCATAGGTACCACAGTGGGAAAGATACTGATTGCTTTTCTTCCTTGGCAATCCTGTATATCACCTTCTGGTACTATGAAAATTATTCCGCATGGAGGAGCCTTCTGGGTGAGATACAATTGGATCCCTCCAAATCTTGTATCTGATTGTGTATGATGTGTTCATCTGTAGGGACTTACCCTCCAATTTTGAGAGGCAATCCAGGGCAACAGCAACAGCACATAGTGTTTTGGAAGATGCTTGGAATGCCCTGCCTGGCAACTCAAAAATTTTCCTGAACATGGAACTGTTGTTTGTTAGATAGTCATTGGCTCTTGGAAAGACATAATTAACATCCCACCTGGTATAAGTCCATTTAAACTTTACATCAAATATATAGCTTCAAATATCCTAAGTTCCATTATTCCTCCTCCATGTCTCTCCCTCTGTAATGCCTTTCCTCTGCCTTGTCCACTTAAAGACATCCTCCCACAATTTTGTTTATTCTCTTCATGCACATTATTGGCTTTTGTTAGCAAGACGATGTCTTGTTCTTCTTATTTCTGCTCTAGGCACAAGGTAGGTACCCAGCATACATCATGGGACTGCCCCAACAAACAAGGGACATAATGATTATTTCCACCAATTAGATCATTACACATAAATTTGGAAGAGCCAGTCAGATAATTGAAGGAACAATTCATTATTTTTTTCTTTAATTTGCACCGTCATGTTCCTGTGGAAAGTGTGAAGGTGTTTTTGAATGGTACTGATGGAAGAATTTGGAATTTGAACTCGGGGTCTCTGAAGTTTGTGAAAGACACCTATGGGCATTTTGTCAGTGGAGACTTGATGAGACTAGTCTGGGAGCATTGAAAGTTTAGACTTCTAAGGATGCTGCTGTGCCTGATCTTGGTGGGAAAGAAACCACAGGAAGTGCTTTCAGAGGTAATTTGAATACAGAAGTCTGTTGGGATGTGGTCCCTACAATATCAGGTCTAGAGGTGGCACTCTGCTAGGGTGCGTGTCCATGCCAAGCATGGGGATGCAGTTCAGGGATCCCCAAGAGGCATACACTTGTAACTCCTGGTTTCATTGCTTTTCACTTTGTTATCCCCTGAGTAACACAGGACATTTTCATTACAAGTATGTACTATAGTCTAGTGAAATTAGAAAACATACTATGTGTGCAAGAGAAATTGGAAAATATCTGCAATTGCGTATGGATACAGCCCTTGTATATGTTCCCCTCTCAGTCCTTTTTGTGTTTTGACCATTTGCTGTTTTTAAAGTTCTGTGTTGTGTGGTTCATGTAGGTGATCTGCAATGGCTAATATTCTACAGGACAGGTAGGGTTAGGAGAGAAGATACTGGCTTGATCTTCCAGATTGTTGGTAATTTTGTGATGATATCTTGGCATGTGGACTTGTTTTGCTAGTTCTGGGTCTGATATGGACAGATCTTATTGAGCAGAAGAGAACATGGATGGGCAGGTTGGGCCTAGGCGTTGGAAATGGCTTGGGTGGAATGAAGTCAGGTGGACAGAGGGCACCAACTTGGTGTACAGAATGTGCTTTCTGATCCAAGACTGGGGTGTGGGTAGATCTGGCTGTGTGCAAAGTTTGGACATGGCAGAGGAGGAGCTTATTGATTGGGGGATAAGCATGGAGGGTTCTGTACAAAGCCTAAAAATAGGTTGTGACACAAGCAGGAGAGGCCAGACTAGGCCAGGGCACTGGATGTGGGACCTGGTCTAGATCTGGTGGGTTGAGGAGAAGGTTTGAATGGGACAGTCAGGGAGACTCATGGGGCTAGAAGGAGAGAGGGGCATCTAGATGTGCCATTTAGAGATTAGTGCTACCCCACAAACATTATGGAGGAGAAAGTGGGAAGTCTGGCTGTGTAGGGTTTGTATGTGGCACCATGTGCCTTGTTTTTAAAGTCACTGAATCTATATAGTGCTGTATATATGGGCACGGGCAAGAATCATCTACTAGAGCACATGTAGCCTCTCCAGGATCATATCCCTGAAGAAAAATGGCTCTCACCCACCAGTACCCATCAATTTCCAAAGCTCCTTATCAGGGACTATGGAGGTCCAGCCCCTCAATAATTCTCTCCCAGGGTCAGGGAAGAATCTACAACCAGCTAACAATTAATCTTGAATGAAAAGAAATGAATCTATGCACAGGAAACTCCTTAGTCCATACACTTCATTATTCTGTGTCAGTTCTCTCTCTACAAGCTTCTATTCCCTTTTAGCTCCTTTCTTGCCTGATTTCTCTCTATATTCATCTACTGCTCCCTCTAAGTTCTATCTTAATCCTCTCTTCTAAATTCTGCCTCATCTAGGTCCTTATCATCTCGTTCTTACCCAGCTAGTACTTCCCCATCTGACTCTTCCTCATCTTCCATCTCATCCACACGTTCTCTCTGGACAAAATCCTCCTTGTTCCTCTCTGTTCTTTCCATTCCCCGCAAGTCTCTCTAGAGTCCAGTTATAAACCCAAGCAATAGCAATCCCCTGGTTGAGCAAGGTCACCAGGCTTGAAAACTTGTGTGGTCATAAAGGCAGGTAAGAGTTTCCTCAGGCAGTGATTGTCAGGCTTCCAGGATCAAATGGAAGGGTGATAATCACATAGAGGGGCAGTAATTGTTAATTATCATTTGCAACCCAAAAGGGAAGTGACTAATGAATTAACTAAAGGCTAAATTTGGGTAATATCTAAGAAGAGGGATCTTATGTGCTCACCTATAATCTTAAATGTGATTGGTAGAAAATGTTAAGAATCTATAAGTTGCTAGGTCAGTGGGAGAAAATAAAACTGTATTCTTTTTTCCTGTGGCTCCTATCTGTCCAAGCTATCTGCCATTTTTCTGCAGGGTGGGGGAAAGTGTGCTCGGTCGCTAGGCAACCTGTGTACAGCTAGATGCCTCTGGTGATAGTTAAAGGGAGATCTGGAACTAGAGGAAAGATTTGGGGTAGGAGGAAGTTAAGCTTAATTGGCACATCCGCCAGGCCTTCTCAAACAGGTAGCCTGGATGCTTAAGTCTGTTCTTAGAGAGTACAGAGGTATCTCTGAAGAGGTACTTTCCTCCATCTGGGAGTGGACCTGGCCGGATGCTGCCAATGACGATAATTACAGGGAGGCTTGAACTGGGGTCCTGGCTGAGCATAGCTGTCAGTGCAGATATATAAATATTCCTTTAGTAGAGGGGAAATGGTGCCCAATAAATGGTGGAAAAGCTACAATAGCACACAAGAATCTCATCGCAGGAAACAGCTGATAATCAAAAGCCAAATATCACCAAGACTCCTTGAGCCTCAGCTTGACCTCTGGAAGGCCCTTGGCCTCTTCCAGGTATTAGCTTTGTCATAATCAGCTGAAATCCTACTTTGTATATTTTTGCAGCTCGCAGCAGCTCCTCAGCTGGGAATAAGTCTTTATGAGTTCTTTGCCTTTTCATGCTGGGATTTGGTTGTGTTGATCTTTCTCAGGCCTTAAGCATGCAGTCACAACTGCTGTGAGTTCAAGGTTGCCACAGCTTTGTCTCGCTGGGTAAATGCTGCTTCACTGCAAATATCTACTACCTTCAGCTCTTACAATCTTTTTGTCCCCTCTTCCAAAATGTTTCCTTGGTATTGGTGTGTGTTTATGTGTGTATGATGTGTGTGTGTGTGTGTGTGTGTGTGTGTAGTATGTGTATAGTTTTCAGCTAAATATTACTCCACAGTCTCTTGGTCTCTGCATGTCAACCAGCCATGGGTCTCTACTAATTGCCATCTATTGCAAAAAGAAGCTTTTCTGATGAGAGTTGAAATATGTTCTAATTTATGTGTATAAAACTAAGACCTGCCAGGTGGTGGTGGCACACGCCTTTAATCCCAGCACTCAGGAGGCAGAGC